TTATAAATAAGAGTAACTTTATTAAAAAAAGAGCATCAAGAAAATACTAACAAAAACAATCCACACCAAGAAAATTACATCTCAGCCAACTAAGAATCAACAAAAATCAATAAGGAAAATAAATTCAGCTCAACCCTCCCCAACACCCAACAGGACGACACCACCAACAACAAGAACTCATGTTTTTCTTTTCAAGGATTCTCCCAAAAAATAGTTTCAACAAAATCTTTCAATTTCTTAAGACTTACTAAGTTCAATTCTTTATATTTCTCTAAAACAGAGTACGTTAAATGTAATAAATGGTTGTAACCAAATTCCCATAACAAGCCCAGATGCTCAAGTACCATCTTAATGAAAGCATTACCTTTCCCACTAATATTTCGTTAGAGTGGTCAACTCCATAAATATCTGACGTATCAAAGAAAGTAATTCCTTTACTGAATGCATACTTGATTATTGCAATGCCATCCTCATCAGAGACGAGAATTGTAAGCTCCACTAAGCCCCATACAGCCATAACCCAATTTTGAGACCTGAGAAAAAGAAGAAAAAAAAAAAGATTCCAAATTCAGAAAACGAATGAGAAACAAAAATACATTGACAAAACATTTCTAACACTCACACCTAGCCTTCCTAACTAGTTGGTAAAGGGTTTGACCCCCCCCCCCCCCTCCCCAAAATTCCAATTCCTATTAAAAGACATAACTTAAGTTCTAAATACAGCTAAAGGTCACCAACTTTTATCATCGCAAATATGGAAAGATATATATAACTTTCTTCATAATATAATTTATTCCAAACATGGAACTAATCACAAGCATCTAACTAGGCAATTACAAAAACAAGCAACAAAAATCTGGTGACATAAACCATTTTGTTTTTAAAAATACTAGCAAACAAAAAGAAAAATGTTAAGTGTTATTGTTATCTAAGAGCAGTTTAGTACTTTAGCTTATGTTTATGTTTATGTTTATTACCTTAAATACGTATGCTTAAGTTGTAACCCTATCATCATTGAAATAATATTACAGCAGATGCTTCTCTCTCTCTCTCGGTTCATTCTTCTTCCTCTTCTTCTTCATCTGTGAAGTTAACATGGTATCAGAGCCTCCTCTTCCTCCTCGAAGAATTTTTCCTGGTAATTCTCTTTTTTTTTTTTTTTTTTTTTTTTCCCTTTTTTTTTTTTTTTTTTTTTTTTTATAATTTTAAAAAAAAAAAAAAAAAAAAAAATTCCCTATGCTCGAAATTTGATGGGCTTCCTCTATATGATTTTATTTAAATTTTTTGTCCATTGTTTGGTTGTTTTTTGATTTTTGGTTGATTTTTTGGGAAAACGACTGATTTTTCGAAACTCCTTACTCTAGCCTTTTTAGGGCTAATTTTTCCCTTCTTCTCTTCTCCTTGGGAGCCGACTGGACCAATGTGGTAGGTTAGGAGTCCTGCTTTGATGATTTCTTGAGGTTTCTGTAGTTGATTAGTCCTTTACTTGCTCTATCTGGCTTGGTGCTCGAAATTTGATGGGCTTCCTTTATATGATTTTATTTAAATTTTTTGTCCATTGTTTGGTTGTTTTTCAATTTTTGGTTGATTTTTTGGGAAAACGACTGATTTTTCGTAACTCCTTGCTCCAGCCTTTTTAGGGCTGATTTTTCCCTTCTTCTCTTCTCCTTGGGAGCCGACTGGACCAATGTGGTAGGTTAGGAGTCCTGCTTTGATGATTTCTTGAGGTTTCTGTAGTTGATTAGTCCTTTACTTGCTCTATCTGGCTTGTTTTGGTGTGGGTTTGCTTTGTTTTCACCCATATCGGTGCATTGTTGTCTCCAGTTGATTGTTTTTTGATTTGTTTGATACCTAGCTCTATTTTCCTATGGCTGGGTTCGAACGCCAGACTTTTAAGGGCCTTGAGGAGAAGGGATTGAGTCGTGGTGTGACTCTTGGTGATAGTCCTCTTCAAATTAGTCCTGTTAAGCTTGATAGTACCAACTACTTGATTTGGTTTCGCTTCTGTAGTCTTACTATCTCTGCTTGTCATTTGACTGGATATATTGATGGTACCCTCAAGCAACCCGCTGATGATGGTGATTTGTGTACTCAATGGATTTTCGAGAACGCTTTGGTTATGACTTGGTTGATCAATTCCATACAGCCTACACTTAGTCAAACTTTCCTTTTGTTGGACACTATTCATAAGATTTGGATAGCTGTGGCTGTGGCACAAATGTATTCTCAAAAAGGTAATGATGCACAAGCCTATGAGTTGCGGAAGAAAGTTTGGGGCTTAGATCAGAAGGATCACTTACTTGCGGTGTATTATGCAGAGTTTAGTGGCTTGCGGTAGGAATTGGATTATTACCAGAGCAGAGCTTTCAAGCTGTTTGTTCTCAGGATGCCTCTTTGTTTCAGCAGGTTATCGAGAAAGAACGTGTTTATGATTTCCTTGCCTAGTCTGTCTCAATTTGGTAGCAAGGTTCCATCGGCTAATCAGGATCGCTTGAAGTGTGATTACTGTGGGAAGGACAGACATGACCGGGCACATTGTTGGAAGTTGAATGGTTGTCCTTCTCAAGACCGTGGTCGTCAAGCACGTGTCCGAGATTACTGCTTACACCCCTACTGACACTGGTACTATTTCACAGGATGAGCTACACACAGTTAGGCGTTTGATGGCTCGGCTGGATTCTACCACAACCTCTTCTTCTTCTTCTTCTTCTTCTTCTTCTTCTGCTTCTTCCAACTTTGCTCACACAGGTATTCCTGCTAGTGCACTCAATACATCCTCATCATCTCCTTGGATTATTGATTCCAATGCTACCGACCACATGACAGGTGCCTCAAGTCTTTTTTATTCATATTCTCCTTGTTCTGGGCGAGATAAGGTTAGAGTGGCAAATGGCACTTCATCCTCTGTCTCTGGCAAGGGTTCGGTTCTTTGTTCCTCTTTATTGTCTCGTTCATCTGTGCTTCATGTTCTTAATTTTTCTACTTACTCTCTATTAGTAGTCTTACTACCTCTCTAAATTGCTCCGTGACCTTTTTTCCTACTCATTGTGTCTTTCAGGAACTGGCTACGAGGAAAATGATTGGCAGTGGTAGAGCACAAGATAGACTGTAATTTCTGGATGCTGTTCCTTCTGCCTTTTTGTCATCTCAAGCTCTCAAGTGCACTACTGGCTCCTCTCTTCATCTCCTCCATCAGTGGCATCCTCGTTTAGGTCATCCGTCCTTTAGTGTTTTAGAGAAACTTTTCCCTTCTTTAGTTCGTGATTGTCCTAGGCATAATTTTGGTTGTGATGCTTGTGAACTTGCACAGCATGAACGTACTTGTTATCCTTCCATTAATAAAAGTACTTTTCCTTTTATGCTTATTCACACCGATGTGTGGGGCCCCTCCCCTGTGGTTTCTACTTCTGGGTATCAGTGGTTTGTTACTTTTATTGATTGTTATTCCTGTGTGACTTGGATTTACTTGCTTCGAACTAAAAGTGAAGTGTTTTCTTGTTTTCAAATTCTTCGGAGTGATAATGAGACTGAGTATGTTGATAGAGTTTTTCAGGCATACCTAGAGGAGCAAGGCATCCTTTATCAGACTAGTTGTATTGGCACTCCTCAACAAAGTGGAGTTGAATGCAAGAATGGCCATCTTCTTGAAATTGTTCGCTCTCTTTTGTTTACCATGAATGTCACTCAGTCTTTTTAGGGTGACGTCGTTTTTACCGCTGCTTACCTTATTAACCGTACGCCTCCAATTTCAAATTCGTCTCGAACTTTTACCTGTCACTTATCCCACCCCTTCTCTTCCTCCTTGGGTTTTTGGGTGTGTCTGTTTTGTTCAGCTCCAACCTCGTGCTCGTGGCACACTTGATCCTAAGGCTGTGCGTTGTGTATTTATTGGCTATTCTGCTACTTAGAAGGCTTACAAATGCTATGATCCATACACTCGTAAATTGTATGTTAGTATGGATGTCACCTTCTGTGAATCTGAGTCCTTTTTTATTTCTTCTCCTCTATCTCCTCAGGGGGAGCGTATTACGGATGAGATTGCGGATGAGTCATATCAGCATGAGTTATCTTTTTTCCTTCCCAGTTAGCGGTCTATTATTTGTGGTGAGGGGAAGCCTAATAGTTCTCTTGATGTGGAGCTTGACATTGGTGGTCGTTTGGACAAAGCTGATCTTAAAACTTACTCACGACATCAGAAAGAACAGACTCCTCTATTGCCACCAGGTCAATCATCATCCCTTGTGCCGGCTCTTCATCTTGTTTCGGCTTATTCTCCAGGTAATGACCCTCCGTTTACTTCTCCATCAGTAGTTAATAGTCCTATTGTTGATGATTTGAGTCTTCCAATTGCTCTTAGAAAGGGGGTTAGGGCTTGTACTCAACACCCCATTTCTAAATTTGTGTCATATGATTCATTGTCTCCTACATATTGTGCTTGTGTTTCGTCTCCGTCTTCTGTGTGTACCCCATAGGGTTGGAAAGAAGCTATCAATGATCTTAAGTGGAAAGTAGCTATGGTAGAGGAGATGCAAGCTCTGAGCAAGAATAACACTTGGGAGTTGTTTCCTCTTCCTAGTAGAAAAGAACTAGTACGGTGTAAGTGGGTGTTTACCATTAAGCAGAAAGCAGATGGGACAATTGAACGGTACAAAGCAAGATTAGTGGCCAAGAGGTTTACCCAGATGTATGCAATTGATTATCAAGAAACCTTTACTCCTGTTGCAAAGATGAATTCTATTCGAGCTCTTCTTTCTTGTGCAGCCAACTTGGGATAGTCTTTACAACAACTGGATGTAAAGAATGCCTTTCTCAATGGTGACTTGGAAGAGGAGGTGTATATGGATGTACAACAGGAATTCTCATCTCAGTCTACAGTTGACAAAGTTTGAAGGTTGAAGAAGGCTCTATATGGTTTGAAACAATCTCCCCGAGCTAGGTTTGACCGATTTCTAAAGGCCATGTTGAGATTTGGGTATAAGTAGAGTAATGCAAATCATACCATGTTTGTCAAACACAATGCAAATAAGGTTGTTGTACTTATTGTATATGTGGATAACATAGTAGTGACAGGAAATGATGAGGAGGAAGTGACGCATCTCAAGAGGCAATTGGCCAAGGAATTTGAGATCAAAGATCATGGCTCTTTGAGATACTTTCTTGGAATTGAAGTTGCTAGATCTGACAAAGACATCTTTATTTCTCAAAGGAAGTATGTTCTAGATCTTGGAGAAACTAGCATGTTGGATTGCAAACCTTCTGATTCGCCCATTGAAGCTAACCATCGTCTCTGCAGTGGTGTTGGTGATAAGGATAGGTACCAGAGACTTGTGGGAAGACTTATATATCTATCCCATACTCGTCTCTATATTGCTCATGCAGTCGGAATAGTGAGTCAATTCATGCATGATCCTCGTGCAACATATTTAGATGCATCATATTGTATTTTGAGGTACCTTAAATCAGCTCCAGGAAAAGGGATTCTGTTTTCAAATCATGGCCACTTGAGGTTAGAGGTCTTCACGGATGCAGATTGGGCTAGTTCTATAGATGACAGGCGATTTACTTCTGGTTACTGCGCTTTTGTGGGGGGGAAATTTGGTTACCTAGCATAGTAAGAAGCAAGCAATTGTGTTCAGATCTAGTGCAAAAGCAGAATATAGAGCTATAGCTCATGGTACATGTGAACTTATGTGGCTTCAATCCTTGTTGGGCGATATAGGAATCATTTGTGATGGACCCGTGACTTTGTATTGTGACAACAAAGCTACTATCAGACATTTAAATCGACAGACATTTTATTAAGGAGAAATTGACTAAGGGTCTGATATATATGCCTTATGTGAAGTCGAAAGATCAATTGGCTGACATATTTACTAAAGGTCTTAGCAATAAGGTCATCCATCCTATTTGTTGCTACTTGGGCATGAGAGATATATTTGCACCCACTTGATGGGGAGTGTTAAGTGTTATTGTTATCTAACAGTAGTTTAGTACTTTAGCTTATGTTTATGTCTATTACCTTAAATACGTATGCTTAAGTTGTAACCCTATTATCATTGAAATAATATTAGAGCAGCGACTTCTCTCTTTCTCTCTCGGTTCATTCTTCTTCCTCTTCTTCTTCATCTGTGAAGCTAACAAAAAACAACCTTAACCTGTTATCATAGCCTATGAAGCATGGATACTTCCATATCGAAATTGTATTGGATACCAATACTCTTTGGATACTCACAAATGCTTATCCAATACTTCCCAAAAATATCCCAATTAAAGTTTATTTGTCTTTAATTTTAGAATCAAAGTATCATATATGTTCAAGATACTCCAAGTATTCAACATTTTTTGACAATTAGACGTGACATTTCTTGTGTAATGTTAGAGTATAATTGTTAGAATAAATGTAAGACTAGTTTCTTCAAATACTTTGTGTACTAGACCAGAAAAATTGAGAAACAGTAAAATTAAAGCATGTCAACTTTTGTCGAAATTTGCGTCCTCATAACATAACCTCAATCTTTTTTTACATGAATACGTTATAAAACTGAAATAAAGAATATTTAACAGATATTCAAATACATAATTAGTAATAAATATGTTATGATAAAATTACTTTTATATTTATACACATACATACATACAAGATATATATATATATATAGGTTTAGTGTAGTTTTCAAACCCAATCCAACTTGTTCTTGAATGTTCTCAAATCAAAGTGCAAAACAGATTCAACGCCCTGGTCTTAATCAACAGTAGACCAATCTGTGAGGAATGCTGATGGGCTACCATTGGACCACGGCTGCTCATCCTCGGAATTTGAAAATAAAACAAAGACAGAATGGAATCACTTTGTTTCAGTGACATATATAATCAGACTGAATAGGATTTGAAGAGCTGTCACGATCATTCACATCAATTTCAGCAGGCAGGAAGGGTGTGGAAGCTACCGTTTCTAGAATGCAAACAAGGTAGCTTCATGTTAGCAGCTCGTCTTTTTTCTATTTTGACCACCTAGTCTAACGCAATGTTTAGGTCTTTTGTGTATGTGACTGATAACAGATGACAAAACTTGTGTATATCGATTAATCAAAAGAATTACAAAATATATAAACAATAGAATGAAACGAAACCCTAATAATCCCTAATAATCTAAAGTACTAAACTATCCTTAATGAATAATATAAACTACATAATTCACACCCCCCCTCAAACTGAGGATGCGAGCGCAGAAAGCATCGAAAGTTTGCCAAGAAGAAAACGAAAACGAGCAACAGTATGAGTCTTCGTAAAAAAATCGGCCAACTGAAGAGATGAGGGAACAAAAAGGAGAGTAATAGTGCCAGCCTGAAGATGCTGTCTGACAAAGTGACAATCTATTTCAACATGCTTTGTCCGCTCATGAAAGACTGAATTATGGGCAATCTGGACAGCACTCTGATTATCACAATACAACTGAATCGGATCAGAAAGAGAGACACCCATATCAGAAAGAAGCCAGCGAAGCCAAACGATCTCGGAAGTAGCATAAGCCATGGCACGATACTCAGCCTCAGCGGTGGAACGAGCAACAACAGATTGTTTCTTACTCTTCCAGGATATGGGGGAATCGCCAAGGAAAACACAAAGACCAGAAGTGGATTTGCGATCAGAGATGTCACCTGCCCAATCAGCGTCAGCATAGGCACGGAGAGTCAAGTCCGAAGAGGCAGATAACAACAAACATTGCAACAAAGTGCCACGAAGGTAGCGCAAAGTACGAAGTAAGGCAGCCCAGTGTGTGGAACGAGGAGCAGAAACAAACTGACTGAGAATGTGCACAGCATAGGAGATATCCGGACGAGTAACGGTGAGATAAACAAGGCACCCAACCAACTCGCGATACAAAGTGGGATCCTCAAGAGGAACGCCATCAGAAGCAGAAAACTTAGCATGCAACTCAAGAGGAGTGTCAACAATTTTCTCATCAGTGAGATTGGCACGAGAAAGAATATCACGGGCATATTTAGTCTGAGAGAGAAGATAACCAGTAGGAGAAGTAGCAACCTCAATACCAAGAAAATACCGAAGAATCCTCAAATCCTTCATCTCGAACTCCTGAAACAACTGATGCTTAACCTCCTCAATAGTACTATAATCAGAGCCAGTGATGATCATATCATCCACATATAAGAGAAGGAGAACAAGCCCAACAGAAGTGCGTCGAACAAAGAGAGCGCAATCATGATGACTAGGGTGAAAACCAAGCTGAAGGGCAACAGAGTGAAATCGCTCATACCAAGCACGAGGAGACTGCTTGAGACCATATAGAGCACGGCGAAGACGACAAACAACACCAGGAGGGTGAGAGAGACCCGGTGGAGGGCACATATACACTTCTTCAGCAAGATGCCCATTCAGAAAAGCATTTTTGACATCTAGTTGAAACAGGGGCCAATGATGGGCAGCAGCAACAGAGATAAGAGTACGAACAGTAGTCATCTTGGCAACGGGGGCAAAATTCTCATCGTAATCAATTCCATACTCCTGAGAAAAGCCTTGGGCAACTAGACGAGCTTTGTACCGTTCCAAAGACCCATCAGAAAGGGTTTTGACCTTATAGACCCATTTACAGCCTACAACATTCTTGTTAGCAGGTAATGGAACCAAATCCCAAGTCTGAGTGTTAGCCAAAGCAGTTAACTCATCATTCATGGCAGCAATCCAATTGGGATCATGACAAGCTTCCTTGTAAGACCTGGGCTCAAAATATGTATGAAGACAAGAAAGAAAAGACTGATAGGAAAGAGAAAAACATGTATTACCAAAACCATACCAGTTCGGAGGATGACGATCTCGCTTTGGGAAGCGATGTGCAGAAGGAGCGGGATCCAAAGAAACAGCTGGAGGGATAGTAGAGCTAGAGACAGGTGAGCTCGGAAGTGCTTTGCGGCGTTGATAAACAATAAGAGGAGCAGGAGAAGCGGGAGCAGGAGAAGCGGGAGCTGGAGATGAGGTAGCTGGAGAGGTATTAGAAGTGCTAGTAAGAGGCAAAGTAGAGACCTCAAGGTCAGAAACAAACTCATCAGGAGAAACATTAGGAACCAATTCATCCTTAGTAATAGGAACAGGGGTGGAAGGTATAGTATAGTAGGGTAGTTTTTCTAAAAAAGTGACATGCCTAGACACATATAGCTTTTTGGTGGCAGGATCATAGCACCGATAACCTTTCTGATTAATGCCATACCCTAAAAAGACACATAGAACACAACAAGAACTAAGCTTGGAGCGCGCCCGTTTAGGAAGGAGCACAAACAATGCAGAACCAAAAATACGAAGAAGAGAATAATTGGGAGTAACACCAAAAAGACGCTCATATGGAGATGAGCCTAAGAGAAGAGGAGTAGGCATCCGATTGAGAAGATATGCAGCAGTGAGCACAGCTTCTCCCCAGAAAACAGAAGGGACAAAAGACGAAAGCAACAAAGAGCGAGCTGTATCAAGGAGATGGCGATGTTTGCGCTCAGCTAGACCATTTTGTGCAGGAGTGTCAGAACACGAAGACTGATGAATAGTTCCATGAGTAGCTAAATACTCCTCAAACTCAGACAAGTAATACTCACCCCCCAAATCAGAACGAAGAATTTTAATGGTGGTAGAAAATTGAGTGCGAATCATGGAGTGAAAATTAGAATATATTTTGTAAAAATCAGATTTTCGAGTCATCAAATAAACCCAAGTAAACCGACTGTAATCATCCACAAAAGCTACATAATATTGCGAACCACCTTTGGTAACTATAGGGGAAGGACCCCAAACATTAGTATGGACCAATTGAAAAGGAGAAGATGAAATAGAACTACTTTTATTAAAAGGAAGAGCAGACATTTTAGCCAGTTTACAACCACGACACTCAGAAATATCACTAATGGGAAAATTGCCTAAATGTCCAGACCTAACTAACATCCTCAACCGATCACTCGACAGATGACCTAACCTAGAATGCCAAATATAGAACAAAGATGACTTATTGTTTAAACAAAAAGAAGACAATGCAGTAGAAGACACTTCTAGAGGAACATGCAAGCTCTCCAAGACATATAGTTCTCCAACTCTACGCCCGATCCCAATCTGCCTCTTGGATACCCGGTCCTGTACAACACAATGAGAAGAAGAGAAAACAACATCAAAACCGGAATCAGATAATTGACTAATAGAAATAAGACTGAGTGAGAGGTGAGGCACATAAAATACAGGAGAAAGAGACAAATGGGAACAGGAAATAGAACCAACAGAGTGTACAGGCATAGAAGAACCATTAGCAGTAGCAATAGTGATAGAAGAAGAAGGAGAGACACAATTACTGAGGAGAGATGCAACAGGGGTCATATGATGTGAACAACTAGAATCAAAGATCCACGAAGTATGGATATTACCTGAAAAAGATGAACCAGACAAACCGAACTGAGTGGTAGTTATAGTGGAGGCTTGGGACGAAAGATTTGCATTGGCCACCATGAAAGACTTAAACTGCTCAAACATAGACTGCATATTGGAAGATGGATCATTCTCAGAAACTGGTGCAGAAAAGGCGGTAGATGAGCGAGATCCTGAAAATGTCGGCTTAGCGAATGGT